TCAGAGTCCAGCGTAGAGACACATACATCAGAGAGGTAGGTGAAGTGAGGTGCAGAGAAGCATCTAACACAGAGAGTGAGTCAGATATACCTTTGCTTCTCCCTAAACACCACTGAATAATGAGTCAGGCAGGATCTGTGAGTGAGAGAGAGTGGATCAGACGAGGTACGGGCATGAGTCTTACAGACAAAAGGACCTCACTAGCAGCCGCCCTCAAGAAGGAGCAGCCAAGGTCCCCCCTGAGCCCCGCTTCCACCAGAGACCCCAGGAAAGCAGCTGAGAACGTAGCCAGGACAGCTCCAAGAGCTGAGAGCTCAGCATCAGTGGCCTGAGGTGGCCTCTGTCTGTGCTGCGGGTCTTATGTCACAACCACTTGTGTTCTAGAAGAGACACTTTTTCCAAGTTCAACCTCTCATTGTACAGGTAGGGAAACTGAGGTTGAGAGAGCAGCAATGACCTGACCAAGGTCACACACTGAATCAGTGACGGCAACTCTAGAATTTGGAAATAGACTAGATTTACAATTACCAATTATAACTGACAATTGTAATTGACAATCAATCTTAATTACATCTTTTGTGAGATAATAACCTGAGTTGGCATAAGACCCGTATATTTCTGTGAGTGCTGGGGTGTGTGCCTGCTTTGCCAAAGAATGGCTTGCACTGTTAAGTCTTTCTGTGTGCTAGACCTTGAGACAGTTGCTCATTTACTCCACACAAGAGATGCTCATTTACTCCACACAACTATGAAAAAAGTGTGATTTAGCTCACCTTACAAAAACTACTAAGAAGCGGTCTTGACTTGCTCAAGGTGGTGCCAAGATTTGAATCCAGATTGCCTTAACTCTAGTGTTCACACATTACATTTCTCCATCGCATTTCACTGTGCCCGGCCTGCCCGGGTAGATAGGAGGCACCCCAGGACATCTTTTTGGGGTGAGTGAATGGGTGAATGTCCTTAAGAGTCAATAGTCTTGAACACTGTAGCGTGACCAAGGCTGGGTGGAGACGATGGAGTCACAATCTGGGACTGGAGATCAGTTAGGAGGGGCATAAATTGGGAGTGAGCAGAATAGAGAATCCGCATCACACACGTGGGAACTAATTTGCTGTGTGGCTTTGGACAGGTTCCCTCCCTTTGAGGCTGTTTCCTCATTTGTGAAATAGATCGGCCTCAATCTATCCTGAAATACATTTATGTGCAGACACTGTATAATTTTAAGATTAAAATCTATGGCAACTAGGTGATAGATGATAGATGCCTGGCCCTATTCGCTCCAGTATGCATGTTGATCACAAACAAGTACAGTGCTTCCTGATAGATTCTTTGCAAAGTTCAGGAGCCATTAGCAGTTGCTAAGTGACAGAGAACTCAGATTCTTTTTTTACCTTTGTATATTCTTTTCTTATTTATTTTTTAATTTTAGCATAGAAGAACTGGGGTGTAGGCCAGAGGTGCGGGGGTGAGAGGATTCACCAGAGACAGAGCGGGGAGCAGAACAGCCGGATCTACTTTTAACAGATTCTGTTAAAAGAATTTGAGTTCTGGGTCTCCCTGGTGGCCTAGGGGTTAAGTCTCAGTACTATCACCACCATGGCCTGAGTTCGATCCCAGGCCAAGGAACATCCCACATGGCACAGCAGTCCTCTCCTGTCTTGCCAACCGCTACCCTCACCAGTGTATTTCAGTCAATCTGCCTGTTGTACTCCCCACTCTGTGTCTGGTGAATCCTCTCACACCCTACATCTCTGGCCTGTACCCCAGCTCTTCTACGTGCAGAATAAATAAATAAATAAATATTTTAAAAATATATTTCAAAAAATAAAACCACAAGACGGCATCACTGATAATTTGATTATCATTACAGGAGGAAAAACAGCACGAAGCAAGACAGTTATTGGTAGGTGCTTGATGTTAGATGGGGCTAGATATCATTTTAGTTTTAAAATAAACAATGAGGCTAAAATTTCCTAATATAAAGCTACCTAAAAATTGGTCAAAGTGTTGTTCTTAATTTACAAAGGATAGTAAAAAATGCACATTTTATACAAGTAATCGAAAAATACATATTATGTATATAATAGAAATCCTGGAAATAAAAGAATGCCTACTGAAATAAAAAGTCACTAGACAAAGTAGAGTCTAGACTAGGTGCAAACGAAAGAAAAACTAATGAACCCGAGAGTGGGACAGAGGAATTAACCCAGGACACAGAAAAGAGAAATGAAGAGAAATACTTGAGAGAAAGGTAAGACAATGAGAATAAAAATAGAAGATCTATAGAAGAGATGATGGACACCCCAGACGCAGATTGGGGAGATGGAGGAAGGGCAATATTCAAAGAGATGAAAGAATATTCTTTTATCAGTATTCAAAAAGAAAATTTTCAGAATGCAATAAGTAAGGGACCAGGAAAAAGACCAATTATAATAAAGTAAAAATCAAAATCAAGGGCCTCCCCGGTGGCGCAGCGGTTGAGCGCTGGGTTGCGATGCTGCCTGCAACCTCTGCAGCCGGTTCAATCCCCGGCTGCTCCCCGGCCACCAGAGGAGGGTCCCACATGGCGCGCAGACCTCTCCTGCCGCCCGCTGCTCCCCTCAGCAGTGTCCTTTGGTCCTTCTGCCTGCTCTGCTCCCCGCTCTGGCTCTGGTGAATTCTCTCACCCTCCCGCGCTTCTGACTGTACCCAGTGCATGTATAAACCAAACCAAAACAAACAAATAATAAATAAATAAATAAGACATGCCTCTAGAAAATTAAAAAAAAAAAAAAATTTAAAAAAAAAAAAAAATCAAAATCAACAAGCAACTATAAACCAGGGACACACTACGGGGTGGTGGGGGGTGGTGGGTGGTAGGAGGGATTACAATCAAAACAAGGGGGGTGGGAATTGTATACGGACTATAACCAAGATGAAAATGCATTCATTGTGCAAAAATGAAAAATGATGTAAAAAATATATAAAATTAAAAAAAAGCTACGGCGGGAGGGGCTGGCTGGCAGCTCCCCCATGTCCTTCCTTCTCTTCCTTTTATTACAAATGAGATTTTACAGAACAAGTAAATCCAGCCTGTTTTATCCAAAACCATTCACATAGAAGTAAAGATTTAGGAAGGCGGTTCTGGGGAAGGATTTGGGCCTTGGAAAACAAAGACCTTTCATGACACCTGCGTGTTCTCATTTGAAAACCAGTGGGTGTTGGTAAATAAAACACACACTTTCAAAAAAAAAAAAAAGAAAGAAAGATATGCAGCCTCAGAAAGTGCACATACAGGACTGAACAGAATAAATGAGATAAGCGTGACTCAACAAGCTCTCTGTGGCTACTAGCTCATGCTTTCATCTGACCAGGAGTCGACGGACCAAGCTCCTGAGCCTCAGATTATGATCACTGATTGCTCATGTCAGCCCTCGGGGCTAGGTACCTACGGGAAGTGATTTCCAGAAAGGTGCATACTCCCCCCCACACACACCCACCCACCCGCAATGGCATTCTCTGCAACTGTCTTCTGGGAAATGCCATGGAGGGCTATGGACAAGGGGAAGCACCAGGGAGGAGAACCCCATCAGCCAGATTCACTGAACAAGGAGGTCACGTCCCTGCCCTGCAAGATACACAATCTTTACTACGGCCCAGAATTGCTGATTCCGTCTGTCTTCCCTGTGGCTGGGGACCCAGCACAGTGCCTGGGTGAGGTGGGAATGCAGTCAGGGGAGCTGGCAGGAATGGATTGAGTGGATAAATGGTTGAATCCAAGTGTTTGGTAGAGGAATTGAGGGCGTATGAAGCAGGCTGAGTACTCGGGGAGGGTCCCCCACCAAACAGTGTCTGGGAAGCAGCATGGGAGTGACCAGATTGGGGAAAGCAACAACGGGTGTGTTATAATTAACTCAAGATGCCCCTTAGGGCTTGCAGCTTCCCCGAGGGCCCGTGTCTCCTGCACACTGGACGCTGGTCCAGGTCAGAGGTCAGCAAACATTTGTGATGAAGGAGCAGAGACTTACAGCTTCAGGACTTCCGGTCATTGTTGAGTCTCTGCTGCGGTACTCAGTCCTCTCTGCCGTGGCCAGTGGGAGAGGCAACACCCAACAATGGACGTGTGGTGCCTCCCTCCACAGGGCTGGGAGAGCACAAGGTGCTCTCACGCAGCCATGAGGTGATTTTCATCAAGGACACCTGTAGGAGCCATTTTGGGCAGGAAGCTCTCCTCGGCCGTCACAACTCACGTAAGTAACTAAAACCTGACTGCAGTGACCCAGGAGCCACAGCACCCCTTTATCTCAGGTCCTTTCTACTCTGTTTAGTCACGAAAGTCACAATTCATTTAACCTTCTAGAATCTCTTCCCACTCCTAATCGCTCAGCTGGTTCGGAAGGGCTGATTTGTTGGGAAAACTGAGCTCCAGAGACTTGCTAAGGGCAGAACCCCCTCCTTCTGCACCTCTGCTTTGACGATTATTTGCTTAGCACTTTCCATGTCACAGACATGAAATAGGACTGCGGTGGAACAGAGCATATAATTCAGAGATCACAAATATCTGTTGGTTGAGTGATTTACCAACTGAATTTGAGAAGGACATTGCATTGAGCAATCAGCAGATAGTTTCGTCATCCCTGAGAGTCCAGGACAGGGAGAGTTGGAGGGACAAGGCCCTGGTCACAGTTGAGCGACCACACCTCTGGGTTCAGCTGCAGCTCCAGTAGCATCTTCCCATGGAGGTGCCTCCCCTCTGCACCTAGGATGCCAGTGGCCGGCTCTCTGGGGCATGTAGGTATCACATGGACCCTTCGGGGTCATCTTCAGGCCAGCTTCTCCTTTTCCTCCCTGGCTGGTGCTCTTTTGGCTTCTCTGTCTTGCCTGGAACAAAGGAGTTACTGCCTCCTGGTGTCAGGACTGCTGATTTCTTGCTGAACTTCCTGGCCTTGGAATCACCTCTGGGCGGGGCAGCATTTGGGGTGGAGCTGCCTCCTGTATAAACAGCGAGGCCAGGCACCTGCCCTCAGAGCCTGCCCTGTCCCCACCATGAAGTCCAATGGACTCCTCCCTCTTACGCTTCTTGTCCTGGGAACCCTGGCACCGTGGGCTGTGAAGGGTGCCGGAGATGGTGAGTAGGATTCGCCCTGGTACAATCTTGATGCTGGGGCAGAGGCGGGAGTTCTTGGTGGTGTGGGGAGGCCCCTTCTCTAGCTGATGCAGCCCCGTAGTCTGACAACCTCCCTGAGGTGGGTCCTGCCCACCTGGGCTCCCAGGTCTCGTGAGGGTCTGAGCATGAGGAAATGCTCCTGCCTCCGCTGTCCTCAGCCCGGGTCTCACATCCTCTGTGCCTTTTCTGTTCTCTACTGCGCCTCTCTGTTTTGACCTTCAGACTCTGTCACGTGGGTTTCGTATCTTCTAAATCTCTCCTCCCCCACCGTTCCCAGTTGTCTCTCTGCCTTGGAGCAGCCTGGCTTATCCCCGGGGCAGAGACCCTTGGCTGACACCTGGAGGTTTCCAGCTGCTGTGACCTGTGTCAGGGTGTGTGGCTCATCCAGCATCTCATCTTGGCCCCTGTGGACACTCCTCTGCGGGAGGGTCTCTCCAGAAGGTGGGGCTTGGCTCTGGTGTCACGATGGCCCCTGAGCCCACAGGCCCCAGCTGAGCTCTCGTCTCTGCCCTCAGAAGCTGTGAAGGCTGGCGGCTGCCCATATAGAGGACAAGTCCGGTGCTTTCGATATGAGGACCCTGAATGCCAGAGTGACTGGCAGTGCCCAGAAGAGAAGAGATGTTGCCCTGACTATTGCGGAATCAAATGCCTGGACCCTGTAAAACTCTCAAACCCAGGTGAGCAGGTGGCAGAGCTGAGGAGAGGTGTGAAGCAGAGGACAAACCTCAGGGGGAGGGGTTGGGTGGTGCTGAGGCTCGTGTTTCTGCTGGTCAGGGAGTCACACTGCCCCAGATAGGAAGTAACCCATGTGGCTGTGGACACTGACACTTGCCAAAAGGTCTGGGTCCGGAAGCAGGCCCATGGGGAAGTGCAGGGCCTTCACCTGTGCTCTCCTCTTGACAGTGAATAAGCCTGGCCAGTGTCCGGCCGTGTATGGAGAGTGCATGATGCTGAACCCTCCCAACCACTGTGAGACAGATGGCGAGTGCGTGGGCAACCTCAAGTGCTGCAAGGGCATGTGCGGCAAACTCTGTGTTACCCCTGTGAACGGTAAGGAGGGTGGAGCCCTGTCCTCACACCGCCCCTCAGTCTCATCCCTCTGAGGGCCAGGTGAATGACTCACTCTCTTATTTTTATTCCCTCTCAAATTTTAATCATCTGTCAGTTGTTTGCATATCTCTAACTTTGGGGTACAGTCTCGCACCTCCATATGTCACATGCTTCCCTCAGCCTCCACCGGCCTTGGGGCGAGGAGCCACAGGGTCCCTCAGAGCTCTGGTTCTGCTGCTGCCTCCGTGGCTGGGGCCCTGGCGAGGGACCCTGTGAGTCCTTTCCCGGGTCCGGTGTGGACAGAATGAAAGGGAAAGTGCTGGAACGCCCCTGCGGGGAAGGACTCGGTACTGGGGTTGTTTTCAGCTCCGTCTTTACGTCCCCGTCCGCTGTGCAGCGGGTGTGAAGATGAACTACTCTAAGTTCGAGTCCAGAGTTTGACAGTAAAATTGAGAGACTGTCCCCTGGGGGCAGGGGTGGGTGGTGCTCAGGCTCATGTTACTGCTGGTCAGGGAGTCACACTGCCCCAGACAGGAAGGGAGCACCTGGCTGTGGACACTGCCACCTCCCGGCGGGTCTGGGTGTGGGGAGTCTCCTGGAATAGTCTCTTAGGACAAAACTCTTTCATCTGCATCATCCCTCTGCTGGCTTTTTTCTATCTCAGCAGGTTCATCGAAAGGAAAAACTTGGCCATGATGTTGGTTTATGTGGAAGCTCTGACATGATTTCCCCTCACATCTGATTGCTGCCCTTGAAAGAGGCTCTGGGTTATGCCCTGTGTGTTCTGGGAATTTCCTCTCTCCACTCAGACTCGCATCACAACACATTCCAAGGTGAAGACCAGGTTCTACCACCAGCATGTCCTTCGGAGAAAGCCTTGACGCAGAGAAGCTTTCAGGAAAGGCCTGTTGATTGTTGGATAAATAAATGAGCATTTTCTCTCTGCACATCCTGTCCTTGCTTCATTGTGGAGTCCATGCTGGGTGGGGTACAGAGGGGGTCTGGAGTGGGGGCGCCCTCCTGTTCTTGTGTGGAAGGAGGAGGCTTATGGACTGAACAGTGGTGAGTTTGCATCATGAGTCTGACAACGCTCGCTCTGTGATTTGACACAAGAAACTTTCCTTATCTTAATTTCTTTAAATGCAAAGTACAATGGAAACCACTTTGTGCCAGTGTTGGGGTATTGGATACACAGTGGGTGTGAAAGGAGCAGTCATGTTACTTGACTACACCATCTTCTCCAACATGTGTGGATACTTCTCCTTGGCCTGCAACTGAGTCTCTTTCATTTCTTCTTCCCAAGACACTATATCACACATATAAAATGAGCTGAGAGGAACAATGTGCGCTGATGATCAGCCCAGGGGAGGACCAAAACACTCTGTCCATGGTGTCTCGGCACCAGCATGGCCAAGAGAAGCACAGTGAAGTCATGTGCTGGGTGGAACAGGGCTCTACGCCCTCTAGGGAAATAAGAAGGTCAGTGGCCTCTTGGCCTGCGCCCCATGACCGGTGGGTCTGTTCCCACAGTAGCTGCAGAACAATTTGCCTCCATGCCTGGTCCCTCTTCATGCTGCAGTAGAAGGACTCAAGTGTTGCCCCCAGAGCACAGCTACGGCATGGGGCAGGGAGTAGCTAGCCATGTGGTGCTCAGACAGGAGCACCCCCGAGTGGGAGAAGGGATAGGTATTTCCTGACTCATGATGACCCTGTCTCTGAATGTCTTGGGAGTAGTATTCTAGGTCTTTCTCATGTAGTTGAGTGGGGAGGCCTTTCAGGCGGCCTTTCTCTATGCCAGGATACTCATGTGGTGGGTGCTCCGGTGGCCTGCTCTTGGCCAGGACGACCTATTGGTGGTGATGGTCTCGAGTCCATGCAGCAGATGAGTAACATGAGCAGGATTCCAGAGCAGGGCCAGCAAGGACCAGAATTCTATGATGTGAGGAAGCAGACTTGGATTAGATAATGATAAAATAAAAACACATATCACAATTGTGTTTCCTGAACAAACCACTGTGAGAATACGCTTTGTGCTGCTTTGAACCACCATTCTGTTTGCTACCAGTGGATGGACAGACGAATGTATGAGAAAGACCTGAAGAGGGGAGCTGTTCTGTTCATCACGAGTGTAGTCACCGCCCTCACCCTGGCTCCCAGGGAGCCTCACCCTGGTTATGCACACCCCGGTGGAGTCTCTCCCCGGTGTTTTCCACACAGATGGTCCGTGTGACAACAGAATGCTGTAGAGTGACAGGAGTCATGTCCTGATGAGATTAGATTAGCTTGGCATGGCACTGTGGAGCGTGTACTCCCCCGGTCACCTGCTCTGCAGATCTCAGCTGCCTCATCATGGGGACCCAACCACAGGGAGGTGGTCTGCAGAGCGGTGAGCCCAGGCCTCTGGCCGTAACCTGTGTGGAACTGAGGCCACGACGATCACTGAGAGAGCTTGGAAGCGGGCTGCTCACCCGCCTGGTCCCGTGATGCAGTCCCAGCAGACAGCTTGATTATAACCTGGTGCCTAATGAAGCCGAGTGTCTCCTCAGATGCTGACATTCAAGTATTATCTATTCTCAAGTTTCCAGTGTCTTGCAGGCAGATGTGACAGGACAATGTGAGCAAGAAAACCTAATAGGGCCTCCCGGGTGGCGCAGTGGTTGAGGCTGGGTTGCGAAGCTGCCCGCAGCCTCTGCAGCGCCGGTTTGATCCTCGGCCACCGGGTGAGGGTCCCACATGGCGCGCAGACCTCTCCTGCCACCCATTGCTCCCCTCAGCAGTGTACTTTGTCTGTACTTTGTCAGAGCTCCCTGCTCTGGCTCTGGTGAATTCTCTCGCCCTCTCGAGCTTCTGACTGTACCCAGTGCTTGTATAAATAAATAAATCTTTTTTTTTAAAGTTTTTTTTTTTAAAGATTTATTTATTTATACAAGCATTGGGTACAGTCAGAAGCGCGGGAGGGTGAGAGAATTCACCAGAGCCAGAGCAGGGAGCAGAGCAGACAGAAGGACCGAAGTACACTGCTGAGGGGAGCAGCGGGCGGCAGGAGAGGTCTGCGCGCCATGTGGGACCCTCCTCCGGTGGCCGGGGAGCAGCCGGGGATCAAACCGGCACTGCAGAGGCTGCGGGCAGCTTCGCAACCCAGCGCTCAACCGTTGTGCCACCGGGAGGCCCAAATAAATAAATCTTTAAAAAAAAAAAAAGAAAACCTGATAGACCTAGAACAACATTTACCTATGCATCAAGCGTAGTATCGAATGGTTTGGTTCTATAACTTAATAGGTCATCAGCAGTGGGGGTGAGAAACTGGTATTTGACACAGAAAAAAAAAATGAAGCAAGGTTTATACTTCAAACTTCATAAATTAAGTTGCTGATGAATTCTTACCTTGTGTGAAAATCAAACTTTAAACACTTTTAAGAAGATATAAGCTGTTCTTCAGCAAGGACTCTTTGCTCAAAATTGACATAGAAAGTATAATCCATGAAGCAAGAGGATGATAAAATTGACCACACCCAAATGAAATACCAATCTTTTTGAGAGATGCCACAAAAACACATTTTGGATATTGATGCTTCTCTCTGGAGCTCTGTCCCCTCTTGCACAGCAGGTGCTTCAGTTCTGCAGCCACGGAGATGTGTCCTGCTTCCTCTTCTCCCTCCAGCTTCGTACACAGGGAGCTGTGACTGCACTCCAGGCCCACATACAGCTTCAGCCACAGGGAGGTCCCTGTCAGGCTCACCCAGGCATCCCCTCTTCCTGTGTCCTTGCATGGAGCTAACTCTGAGTGTTGTGTCTTTCGCTTGTAAAACCGAGTGGTGTCACACCTGCTTCATGCACTCGGACACGTCCAGGTGACGATCGTGAGTGCACTGCTCAGTGCTCGGTCCTAGCAGGGGCTCAGAACTTATTCAGTGTAATGACCTTATGGAGCCTGGGTATCGCGGCAGGATTTAAAAGCGGGTTGTTCTCATTCCAAGTCTGTATTCTTTCCATGAAAGTCACTGAAAACAAACAAAAAGGACATAAACCAGCTATCTGGGGTGTGAGCCCAGATGAGAGAACTTGGGTTGGATCCCTTTGTACAAGAGTTTGATCATCTCTTTGCTGTAGGGTCCTGCGACCATCACCTAGTCCACAACTGGGTGTTCTCCGCAGAAGTTTAATGAAATGTGCACTCAGGAACTTTTGGAAAGCAGACATATTTTACGCACATGCTCAAAGAAAACAAACACTTGGCAAAGCACGTGAGTCAGGCGAGGAGGGAATCAGTGCAATGCAAACACATCCCAACTGCCACTGAGACCACATTCATCCTCTGTAGATTTTGTCACCTTCTCAAGCTATTTCCTTACTGAAAGGTCACAGAGAAAACAGTTTGGTTGTATTTTTCCAGTCAAAGTAGGCAGATGTCTTCCTTTTGGAAGGAAGAGAAGGGACAAGATCCTGGACTGAAATCTCAGCACAATTCCCTGCTCAGCTTCCTCTGGCGTTGACTTCCCGGCGCCCTCTGCAGAGTCAGACATTTGCTGCATGGACCCAGACCCTTCCTCCTCATGCTGGGTTCTCTGACCCCCTCCTACTGATTTCTTCTCTGAGGGGAACCCCTCTCACATTCCCCAGAAATGCAGAGAAGAATCTGACTGGACAGACAGCAGAAGTTGGAGCCAAAGGAAGTGTAAGAGGGAGGGAGTTGAGCTCTGGGTCTCTGGCCCCAGGACAAGGGGAACCTCCAAGACTCTCCTTTGTTCCAGCCCCTCCTAGGCCCCTCTCTGCAAGTGCTGCTCCCCTAACTCGCCACTCCCAGGGCCACACCTACACCTGGCCTGTCTTCTGGGGCTTCTGCCTGGGGCCTCCTCTCTTGAGGGAAAGGAAAACCATGAAGCACGGGAGAGGGTCAGAGGCCACTGGGCCTTGTCCCTGGTCTGCTCACTACGTCACTCGTGTTTAGTGATTCAGCCACAGCATTTTTCCCCCATTGGGAAATGATCCTTTCTTGAAGTTTTCCTTCATGGCCGTTCAGTGGCTGGGCCACGACACTGCTCCACACCTGGGTGTGGTGGTTTGTGTCATTACACTCAGGGACTTGACACGGTGATGAAAGCGCCTGACACGTTTTTCAGAATGTGGTCCCGTCACGAAGCCTCTCACGACTGTGCTGAGGGAGGACAGAGCAACCTCAGAGCAATGATGCAAGCGGCACTGAGGAAGTGCGTTGGGAATTGCAGAGGGAAGAGGGTGAATCTCTTCTCAGTCCGTCTGTCTGTCTGTCTGTCTCCATCTCCATCACCAGCTCCTATCTATCTGCGTATTGATCTGTGACACACAAGATGCACAGAGAGATTGATGTAGGGAGGAGAGAGAGTGGTGCGGCTTGGGGTGAGGGAGAGAGGGCGGGACCGGCGCACCCTGGCGGGTGCCATCCTGGTGCCTGGCATGTGCCATGTCGGTGGTGCCAGAGGGACATTCAGCCAAGAGCTTGTTGCGCTTGTACAGGACCTGCACAGCAGCAGCTGGGAGGTTTTCCTGCTTCAGAGAGTCTGTCTGAAGGCCTCACCCAAACGGACGAGACATCCTCACGTCAGGGACGGTGCTCTGGTTGCCTCGAAGCTCCTGATTTCAGTGTTTGATCACATTACAGAAAACCTTCACGGCAACACCTGGGCTGGCGGTTGACCACACAACAGGCGGCCGTGGCCTGGTCAGGTGACAAACAGGACCCCCCACACGCGACACAGACCACGGCACTCCTGCCTAATAGGGGAGATGCCAACTGGTGGTGTGCAGAGATCTGAGACCGGTCACATCTTCACAAGGGACTTGCTAAGGGTAGAACCCCCTTCCTTCTGCACTTCTGCTTTGAGGATGGTTTACTTGGCATTTTCCACATGTCAGCAGGATAGACTGGGGTGGAACGGAGCAAATATTTCAGAGACCATAGATACCTGTTGGTTGAGTGATCTGCCACCTGAGTTTGAGAAGGATTGCATTGAGGAATCAGCAAATCTTTTCGTCATCCCTGAGAGTCCAGGATGGGGAGAGCTGGAGGGGCGGCCGTGGTCACAGTTGAGTGACCACACCTCTGGGTTCAGCTGCAGCTCCAGTAGCATCTTCCCAGGGAGGTGCCTCCCCTCTGCACCTAGGAGGCCAGTGGCTGGTGTTCTAGGGCATGCAGGGGTCACATGGACTCTCCAGGTGATCCTTCTTTTCTTCCTCCCTGGCTGTTGCTCTTTTGGCTTCTCTCTTGCCTGGAACAAAGGAGTTACTGTCACCTGGTGTCAGGACTGCTGATTTCTTGCTGAACTTCCTGCCCATGGAATCACCTCAGGGCGGGGCAGCATTTGGGTGGAGCTGCTCCTGTATAAAGAGCGAGGCCAGGCACCTGCCCTCAGAGCCTGCCCTGTCCCCACCATGAAGTCCAGTGGCCTCCTCCTTCTGGCGCTTCTTGTCCTGGGAACCCTGGCACCGTGGGCCGTGGAAGCTGCTGGAGATGGTGAGTGGGACTCACCCTGGTTCAATCTTGATCTGGGGCAGAGGCAGGATTTCTTGGTGGTGTGGGGAGGCCCCTTCTCTAGCTGATGCAGCCCCGTAGTCTGAGAACCTCCCTGAGGTTGGTCCTGCCCACCTTGGCTCCCAGAACGGTGAGGGATTTGACATGAGGAAATGTTCCTGACTCCGCTGTCCTCAGCCCGGGTCTCACATCCTCTGTGCCTTTTCTCTTCTCTGCCTGCCCCTCTCTGCTTCGTCCTTTAGCCTCTGTGCCTGGCCGTCAACCTGTCACATTGGTTCTATATCTATTAAATCTCTCCTCCCCCACCGCTCCAGGTTGTCTCTGCCATGGTGCCCCCTGGCTTATCCCTGGGCAGGGACCCTTGGCTGACACCCGGGGTTTCCAGCTTCTGTGACCTGTGTCAGGGCGTGTGGCTCATCCAGCCCGTCCTTCTCCGTGGGGGTCAGGCAGGCATCTCCCCTTGTACCTGTGGACAGTCCCCTGTGTGAGGGTCTCTCCCTGGTGGGGTTTGGCTCAGGTGTCATGACGGCCCCTGAGTCCCCAGGTCCGGCTGAGCTCTCGGCTCTGTCCTCGCAGCTGTGAAGGCTGGCGGCTGCCCTAGGGTACCACTAGCCAAGTGTATTCGGTTTGAGGACCCTGAATGCCAGAATGACTGGCAGTGCCCAGGAGAGAAGAGATGTTGCCCTGGTCTGTGCGGAGTCCAATGCCTAGACCCTGTGAAACTCTCAAACCCAGGTGAGCAGGTGGCAGAGCTGGTGAAAGGCATGAAGCAGAGGACACAGCCTCAGGGGGCAGGGTTGGGTGGTGCTGGGACTCGTGTTCCTGCTGCTCAGGGGGTCACACTGGCCCAGAGAGCCAGTGACCACCTGGCAGTAGACAGAAGCACCTGCCAGCAGGTCCATTTCCAGGTCAAATCATCTGGTCCTAAATTCAGAACTCTGGGCAGTGGGGAGCAGCCACCCAGTCAGCACTGACCCTGTCCCCTGCAGTGATGGGGTCTGGGGTTAGAGCGGGGCAGGCTCTGCCTTCAAGGGACATGCAGGCCTCTCTGGAGGAAGTGGGGGTCATGGGGCTGGGGAGATCATTTTGTCTGTGGAGGGTGGAGCAGGCTGGGTCCGGAAGCAGCAACGTGGGGAAGTGCACGGCCTTCACCTGTGCTCTCCTCTCGCCAGTGAATAAGCCTGGCCAGTGTCCGGCAGTGTATGCAGAGTGCATGATGCTGAACCCTCCCAACCACTGTGAGACAGATGGCGAGTGCATGGACAACCTCAAGTGCTGCAAGGGCATGTGTGGCAAAGCTTGCATTGCCCCTGTGATGGGTAAGGAGGGTGGGGCTCTCTGCCCGCCGCCACCCCTCAGGGCCATCCCTCTGAGAGTCATGTGAATGAGAAGGAGATTGGGATCCATCTCCCCTAAAATCTCTGTCTCACTTTCCTGTCTTTTACTCGCTCTCAAATTTTATGCATCTGCCAGTTGTTTGCATGTCTCTGAAACTTTGGGGTACAATCTCGCACCTCCATATGTGCACATGCTTCTCTCAGCCTCCACCGGCCTTGGGGCGAGGAGCCACAGGGTCCCTCAGAGCTCTGGTTCTGCTGCTGCCTCCGTGGCTGGGGCCCTGGCAAGGGATCCTGTGAGTCCTTTCCCGGGTCCGGTGTGGACAGAATGAAGGGAAAGTGCTGGAAATGAAGGGAAAGTCCTTCCCCTGCGGGGAAGGACTCGGTACTGGGGTTGTTTTCGGCTCCATGGCTACGTCCCTGTCCGCTGTGCAGCGGGTGTGAAGATGAACCACTCTAAGTGTTGAGTCCAGAGTTTGACTGTGAAACTGAGTCTTTATCGGGCTCCTCATGTCACAGCTCTTTAATCTACATCATCACGTTGCTGCTTTTTCTATCCTAGCAGGTTCATCGAAAGGAAAATTTTAGCTGTGATGTGGTTTATGTGGAAGCTCCGACATGATTTCTCCTCACATCTGATTGCTGCCCTTGAAAGAGGCTCTGGGTACCTCCCCGTGTTTCTGGGAATTCCCTCTCCCCACCCAGACTCGCATCATGACACATTCCAAGGTGAAGACCAGGTTCTACCACCAGCATGTCCTTCGGGGAAAGCCTTGACGCAGAGAAGCTTTCAGGAAAGGCCTGTTGATTGTTGGATAAATAAACGAGCATTTTCTCTCTGCACATCCTGTCCTTGCTTCATTGTGGAGTCCATGCTGGGTGGGGTACAGAGGGGGTCTGGAATCGAGGATCTTCCTGTTCCTGTGGAAGGAGGAGGCTTGTGGACTGAACAGTGCTGAGTTTGCATCATGAGTCTGACAACACTCGCTCGGTGACTTTATTCAAAAACATTCCTTTATCTTAATTTCTTTAACTGCAAAGTACAATAGAAACCACTTTGTACCAGTGTTGGGGTATTGGATACACAGTGGGTGTGAAACGAGCAGCCATGTAACTTGACTACACCATGTTCTCCAACACGTGTGGACACTTCTCCTCAGCTTGCATCTGAGTCTCTTACATTTCTTCTCCTTCCCAAGACACTATATCACGTATATAAAATGAGCTGAGAGGAACAATGTGCGCTGACGATCAGCTCCAAGGGGGACACCAAGCACTCTGTTCATGGTGTCTTGGCACCAGCATGGCCAAGAGAAGCACAGTGAAGTCATGTGCTGTGTGGAACAGAGCCCTAGGACCTTTAGGGAAACAGGAAGGTCAGTGGCCTCTTGGCCTGTGCCCCATGACCGGTGGGTCTGTTCCCACAGTAGCTGCAGAACAATTTGCCTCCATACCTGGTCCCTTTTCATGCTGCAATAGAAGGACTCAAGCTTTGCCCCCAGAGCACAGCTACGGCATGGGGCAGGGAGTAGCTAGCCATGTGGTGCTCAGACAGGAGCTCCTTGGAGTGAGAGAAGGGATAGGTATTTCCTGACTCATGATGACCCTGTCTCTGAATGTCTTGGGAGTAGTATTCCAGGCCTTTCTCATGTAGTTGAGTGGGGAGGCCTTTCAGGCGGCCTTTCTCAATGCAGGGATACTCATGTGGTGGGTGCTCCGTTGGCCAGGACGACCTATTGGTGGTGATGGTCTCGAGTCCATGGAGCAGATGAGTAACATGAGCAGGATTCCAGAGCAGGGCCAGCAAGGACCAGAATTCTATGATCTGAGGAAGCAGAGTTGGATTAGATCATGATAAAATAAAAACACATATCACAATTGTGTTTCCTGAACAAACCACTGTGAGAATACGCTTTGTGCTGCTTTGAACCACCGTTCTGTTTGCTACCAGTGGATGGACAGACGAATGTATGAGAAAGACCTGAAGAGGGGAGCTGTTCTGTTCATCACGAGTGTAGACACCGCCCTCACCCTGGCTCCCAGGGAGCCTCACCCTGGTTATGCACACCCCGGTGGAGTCTCTCCCCGGTGTTTTCCACACAGATGGTCCGTGTGACAACAGAATGCTGTAGAGTGACAGGAGTCATGTCCTGATGAGATTAGATTAGCTTGGCATGGCACTGTGGAGCGTGTACTCCCCCGGTCACCTGCTCTGCAGATCTTAGCTGCCTCATCATGGGGACCCAACCACAGGGAGGTGGTCTGCAGGGCAGTGAGCCCAGGGCTCTGGCCGTAACCTGTGTGGAACTGAGGCCACGACGATCACTGAGTGAGCTTGGAAGCGGGCTGCTCACCCGCCTGGTCCCGTGATGCAGTCCCAGCAGACAGCTTGATTATAACCTGGTGCCTAATGAAGCCGAGTGTCTCCTTGGATGCTGATATGCAAGTATCATCCATTTGAAATTTCCCGTAAGTAGTCTTGCTGGCACATGTGACATGACAAATTCAGCAGGAAAACCAAATAGACTTGAAATACATTTACCTACATATGAAAAGTTATTATCAAATAATTTGATTCTATAACTTAATAGAATCAGTGGAGGGAGTGAGAAACTGGCTTTTCAGGCAGAAAAAAAATGAAGCAAGGTCTATACCTCAAACATCTCCCTCTCTCTCTTTTAAAGATTTATTTAAGAACCTGGTGTACAGGCCGAGGTGTGGGGGGTGAGAAGATTCACCAGAAACAGAGCAGGGAACAGAACGGGCAGACTGACTGAAATACACTGCTGAGGGGAACCGCGGGCAAGACGGGAGAGGTCTGCTGCGCCATGTGGGTCAGCTCCCTGTCCGGGGATCGAACTTGTGCTGCAGTGGCTGCAGAACAATTTGTCTCCAGTGGCTTCACAGTGCTGTACTTAACCCCTTGCACCACCAGGGAGGCCCATACTTTACTTCAAACTTTTCAAAAAAGTAATTTCAAATGGATTCTTGCTTGGTATGAAAATCAGTTTTAAACTGAAGAAGCTATAAGGTGATCTTCTGAAGGACTCTGTACCCAACACTGACATAGAAAGTGTATCCATGAAGCAAGAGCGTGATAACATCGAGTACATCCAATGAAATACCAATCTTTTTGAGAGGCAACACATTTTGGATATTGATGCTTCTCTCTGGGGCTCTGAACTTCTTGCACAGCAGGTGCTTCAGTCCTGCACGTGCAGAGACGGCTCCCGCTTCCTCTTCTCACTCCACCTTCCCACACAGGGAGCCCATGACTGACTCCAGGCCCGGACGCAGCTTCAGCCTCAGGGAGCTCCCTGTCAGGCTCACCCAGCACCCCCTCCTCCTGGCACCTTGTTGGGGCCAACTCTAAGCATTGCGTCTGCCACTTGTAAAACCGAGCGAGTGTAACACCTGCTTCCTGTGCTCAGACGCGTCCAGGAGATGACTTGTGAGGGCGCTGCTTTCAGTGCATGGCCCTAGCAGGTGCTCGGTCCTTATTCAGTGTCATGATCTAGTGGAGCCTGTGCGGCAAGGCAGGATTTGAAAACGGGTTGTTCCAATTCCAAAGTCTGTATCTTCCCATGAAAGTCACTGAAATCAGGCAAAAGCATAGAAACTGCCCATCTCGGGGTGTGTTCCCAGATGAAGGAGTTTGGACCATCTCTTTTCTTTTGGGTCCTGCCGATCATCACCTAGTGCGCAACTGGGTGTTCTCCGCAGAAGTTTAATGAAAAGTGCACTCGGGAACATTTGGAAAGCAGACATATTTTACGCACATGCTCAAAGAAAACACACTTGGCAAAGTACGCGAGTCAGGCGAGGAAGGAATCAGTGCAATGCAAACACATCCCAACTGCCACCGAGACGACGTTCATCCTCTGTAGATTTTGTCACCTTCTCAATCAACTTCCTTATTGAAAGGTCACAGAGAAAACAGTTTAGTCGTATTTTTCTAGTCAAAGTAGGCAGATGTCTTCCTTTTGGAAGGAAGAGAAGGGACAAGATCATGGTCTGAAATCTGACCTCAGCACAATTCCCTGCTCAGCTTCCTCTGGCGTTGACTTCCCGGCATCCTCTGCAGCATCAGACATTTGCTGCATGGACCCCAGACCCTTCCTCCTCATGCTGGGTTCTCTGACCCCCTCCTACTGATTTCTTCTCTGAGGGGAACCCCTTTCTCATGTCCCCAGAAATGCAGAGAAGAATCTGACTGGACGGGCAGCAGAAGTTGGAGCCAAGGGAAGTGTAAGAGGGAGGGAGTTGAGCTCTGGGTCTCTGGCCCCAGGACAAGGGGAACCTCCAAGACTCTCCTTTGTTCCAGCCCCTCCTTGGCCCCTCTCTGCAAGTGCTGCTCCCCTAACTCGCCACTCCCAGGGCCACACCTACACCTGGCCTGTCTTCTGGGGCTTCTGCCTGGGGCCTCCTCTCTTGAGGGAAAGGAAAACCATGAAGCACGGGAGAGGGTCAGAGGCCACTGGGCCTTGTCCCTGGTCTGCTCACTACGTCACTCGTGTTTAGTGATTCAGCCACAGCATTTTTCCCCCATTGGGAAATGATCCTTTCTTGAAGTTTTCTTTCATGGCCGTTCAGTGGCTGGGCCACGACACTGCTCCACACCTGGGTGTGGTGGTTTGTGTCATTACACTCAGGGACTTGACACGGTGATGAAAGCGCCTGACACGTTTTTCAGAATGTGGTCCCGTCACGAAGCCTCTCACGACTGTGCTGAGGGAGGACAGAGCAACCTCAGAGCCATGATGCAAGCGGCACTGAAGAAATGTGTTGGGAATTGCGGAGGGAAGAGGGTGGTGTCAGGCAGGGCTCTCCAGAGATGCAGGATCTCTTCTCAGTCCCTGTCTGTCTGTCTGTCTGTCTGTCTCTATATCCATCACTAGCTCCTGTCTATCTGCGTATCAAGCTGTGACAACAAGATGCATAGAGAGATCGATGTAGGGAGGAGAGAGAGTGGTGCGGCTTGGGGTGAGGGAGAGACGGCGGGACAGGCACACCCTGGCGGGTGCCATCCTGGTGCCTGGCATGTGCCATGTCGGTGGTGCCAGAGGGACATTCAGCCAAGAGCTTGTTGCGCTCGTACAGGACCTGCACAGCAGCAGCCGGGAAGTTTCCCTGCTTCAGAGAGTCTGTCTGAAGGCCTCACCCAAACGGACGAGACATCCTCACGTCAGGGACGGTGCTCTGGTTGCCTCGAAGCTCCTGATTTCAGTGTTTGATCACATTACAGAAAACCTTCACGGCAACACCTGGGCTGGCGGTTGACCACACAACAGGCGGCCGTGGCCTGGTCAGGTGACAAACAGGACCCACCATACGCGACACAGACCACGGCACTCCTGCCTAATAGGGGAGATGCCAACTGGTGGTGTGCAGAGATCTGAGACCGGTCACATCTTCACAAGGGACTTGCTAAGGGTAGAACCCCCTTCCTTCTGCACTTCTGCTTTGAGGATGGTTTACTTGGCATTTTCCACATGTCAGCAGGATAGACTGGGGTGGAACGGAGCAAATATTTCAGAGACCATAGATATCTGTTGGTTGAGTGATCTGCCACCTGAGTTTGAGAAGGACATTGCATTGAGGAATCAGCAAATCTTTTCGTCATCCCTGAGAGTCCAGGATGGGGAGAGCTGGAGGGGCGGCCGTGGTCACAGTTGAGCGACCACACCTCTGGGTTCAGCTGCAGCTCCAGTAGCATCTTCCCATGGAGGTGCCTCCCCTCTGCACCTAGGAGACCAGTGGCCGGCCCTCCGGGGCATGCAGGGGTCACATGGACTCTCTGGGTGATCCTTCTTTTCTTCCTCCCCTGGCTGTTGCTCCTTTGGCTTCTCTGTCTTGCCTGGAACAAAGGAGTTACTGCCTCCTGGTGTCAGGACTGCTGATTTCTTGCTGAACTTCCTGCCCATGGAATCACTTCAGGGCGGGGCAGCATTTGGGTGGAGCTGCTCCTGTATAAACATCGAGGCCAGGCACCTGCCCTCAAAGCCTGCCCTGTCCCCACCATGAAGCCCAGTGGCCTCCTCCTTCTGGCGCTTCTTGTCCTGGGAACCCTGGCACCGTGGGCTGTGGAAGCTGCTGGAGATGGTGAGTGGGACTCACTCTGGTACAATCTTGATGCTGGGGCAGAGGCGGGAGTTCTTGTTGGTGTGGGGAGGCCCCTTCTCTAGCTGATGCAGCCCCGTAGTCTGAGAACCTCCCTGAGGTGGGTCCTGCCCACCTGGGCTCCCAGGTCTCGTGAGGGTCTGAGCATGAGAAGATGCTCCCGACTCCGCTGTCCTCAGCCCGGGTCTCACATCCTCTGTGCCTTTTCTCTTCTCTGCCTGCCCCTCTCTGCCTCGTCCTTTAGACTCTGTGCCTGGCCGTCAACCTGTCACATTGGTTTATCTATCACATTTATCTGTCACATTTAATTTATCTATTAAATCTCTCCTTCCCCACTGCTCCATTTGTCTCTGCCATGGTGCCCCCTGGCTTATCCCTGGGGCAGGGACCCTTGGCTGACACCCGGGGTTTCCAGCTTCTGTGACCTGTGTCAGGGCGTGTGGCTCATCCAGCCCGTCCTTCTCCGTGGGGGTCAGGCAGGCATCTCCCCTTGTACCTGTGGACAGTCCCCTGTGTGAGGGTCTCTCCCTGGTGGGGTTTGGCCAGGTGTCACGACGGCCCCTGAGTCCCCAGGTCCAGCTGAGCTCTCGGCTCTGTCCTCGCAGCTGTGAAGGCTGGCGGCTGCCCTAGGGTACCACTAGCCAAGTGTATTCGGTTTGAGGACCCTGAATGCCAGAATGACTGGCAGTGCCCAGGAGAGAAGAGATGTTGCCCTGGTCTGTGCGGAGTCCAATGCCTGGACCCTGTGAAACTCTCAAACCCAGGTGAGCAGGTGGCAGAGCTGGTGAAAGGCATGAAGCAGAGGACACAGCCTCAGGGGGCAGGGTTGGGTGGTGCTGGGACTCGTGTTCCTGCTGCTCAGGGGGTCACACTGGCCCAGATAGGAAGTGACCACCTGGCAGTGGACACAAGCACCTGCCAGCAGGTCCATTTCCAGGTCATATTATCTGGTCCTAAATTCAGAACTCTGGGCAGTGGGCAGCAGCCACCCAGTGAGCCCTGATGCCTGTCCCCTGCAGTGATGGGGTCTGGGGTTAGAGCGGAGGAGGCTCTGCCTTCAAGGGACATGCAGGCCTCTCTGGAGGAAGTGGGGGTCATGGGGCTGGGGAGATTGTTTTGTCTGTGGAGGGTGGAGCAGGCTGTTTCCGGAAGCAGCAACGTGGGGAAGTGCACGGCCTTCACCTTTGCTCTCCTCTCGCCAGTGAATAAGCCTGGCCAGTGTCCGGCAGTGTATGCAGAGTGCAAGATGCCAAACCCTCCCAACCACTGTGAGACAGATGGCGAGTGCGTGGACAACCTCAAGTGCTGCAAGGGCATGTGTGGCAAAGCTTGCATTGCCCCTGTGATGGGTAAGGAGGGTGGGGCTCTCTGCCCGCCGCCACCCCTCAGGGCCATCCCTCTGAGGGTCATGTGAATAAGGGGATTCGGATCCATCTCCCCTAAAATCTCTGTCTCACTTTCCTGTCTTTTACTTGCTCTCCATTTTATTCATCTGCCAGTTGTTTGCATATCTCTGTAACTTTGGGGTACAGTCTCGCACCTTCATATGTCACATGCTTCCCTCAGCCTCCACCGGCCTTGGGGCGAGGAGCCACAGGGTCCCTCAGAGCTCTGGTTCTGCTGCTGCCTCCGTGGCTGGGGCCCTGGCAAGGGACCCTGTGAGTCCTTTCCCGGGTCCGGTGTGGACAGAATGAAGGGAAAGTGCTGGAACGCCCCTGCAGGGAAGGACTCAGTACTGGGGTTTTTTTTGGCTCCATCGTTAGGTTCTTGCCCGCTGTGCAGCGGGTGTGAAGATAAACTACTAAAAATGTTGAGTCCAGAGTTTGACTATAAAATTGCTACATGAACTCATTCTCCTGTGTCACATCTCTGTCACCTACATCATCACTTTGCTCTTTTTTTTCTATTTCAGACAAATCTTAGGAAGAAAAAAGTAGCCATGAAGTTGGTTTACATTGAAGCTCCAACATGATTTCCCCTCACATCGGATGCTGCCACTGAAAGTAACTTTGTGTCATGCCCTGTGTGTTCTGGGAATTCCCTCTCCCTCCCCAGACCCCATCATGACACATTCCAAGGTGAAGTCCAGGTTCTACCACCGGTGTCTCCTTTGGAGAAAGGCTTGACACACAGTTGCTTTCAGGAAATGCCTATTGTTTGTTGAATGAATAAATGTTTCTCTCTGCACATCCTGTCCATGCTTCATTGTGGAGTCCATACTGGGTGGGGTACAGGGGGTGTCTGGAGTGGAGGCCCCTCCTTTTCGTGCGTGGAAGTAAGAGACTTAGGAACCACCCAGGCCTGAGTTTGCATCATGAGTCTGACAATGCTGGCTCTGATTTCATTCAGGTGCATTGTTCTCCATTTCCTTAATTTCTTAAACTGCAGAGTGGAATTGATCCACTGATGCCAGTCTGTGGGGCACTGGGTATGCAGTGGGTGTGAAATGAGTACAAAGTCCGGTGCACAGCAGGTTCTCTGAAATACGTGACACATGCCCACTGTTGACATTTGAGCCTCCTTCATTTTTTCTTCTTTCAAAGATATTATTTCTTTTGCAAAAATTAGCTGAGGGAACACTGTGTGTTGACCATCAGCCCAGGGAGGACCCAAAATTCTGTGTCTGGAGCTCCAACCCTCTTGCACAGCAGGTGCTTGGTCCTGCCAGCATGGTGTCATCTCCCGGTTCTCACTCTCACTGGACTTTGCTCACAGGGAGCCTGTGGCTCCTCAGCGTCCTCTGGCGATGACTTCCCAGCATCCTCTGCAGAGTCAGACATTTGCTGCATGGACCCCTGACCCTTCCTCTTCATCAGGGTTCTCTGATCCTCCTTCTACTGATTTGGTCTCGGAGGGGAACCCCCTTTCTCATGTCCCAGAGTTGCAGAGGAGAATCCAGCTGGCCCTGCAGCAGAAGTTGGAGCCAAGGGAAGCATCAGAGGGACAGAGCTGAGTTCTGGGTCTCTGGCCCCAGAACTAGGGCAACATCCCAGACTCTCCTCCGTTCCCAGCCCCTCCTTGCCCCATCTCTGCAAGTGCTGCTCCCCTAACTCGCCACTCCCAGGGCCACACCTGCATCTGGTCTGTCTTCTGGGGCTTCTGGCCTTGGGGGCACTTCACTTCATGAAAGGAAACCATGAGCAGGGGAGAGGGTCAGAGGCCACAGCGGCTTCTCTCTGGTCTCCTCACTACATCACTCATTATTCAGGGATTCACTCCCTACACTTTTCCCCATTGGGAAATGATCCTTTATTGACGTTCCCTTCGTGGCTGTCTCTCAGCTGGCTCAGAAGAGCTGATTTGTTGGGAAAACTGAGCTCCAGAGACTTGCTAAGGGCAGAACCCCCTCCTTCTGCACCTCTGCTTTGACGATTGTTTACTTCACACTTTCCATGTCGCAGGCATGAAAGAGGACTGGGGTGGGACGCAGCAACATTTCAGAGATCACAAATATGTGTTGGTTGAGTGATCTGCCACCTGAATTTGAGAAGGACGTTGCATTGAGGAATCAGCAGATTGTTTCGGATTGTTTCGTCATCCCTGAGAGTCCAGGACAGGGAGAGCTGGAGGGACAAGGCCCTGGTCACAGGGAGCGACCACACCTCTGGGTTTAGCTGAAGCGCCAGTAGCATCTTCCCATGGAGGTGCCTCCCCTCTGCATCCTGGAGGCCAGTGGCCGGTGCTCCCAGGCATGCAGGCGTCACATGGATGCTCCGAGGTCATCTTCAAGCCAACTTCTCCTTTTCCTCCCCTGGCTGTTGCTGTTTTGGCTTCTCTGTCTTGCCTGGAACAAAGGAGTTACTGTCACCTGGTGTCAGGACTGCTGATTTCTGCTGAACTTCCTGCCCATGGAATCACCTCAGGGCGGGGCAGCATTTGGGGTGGAGCTGCCTCCTGCATAAAGAGCGAGGCCAGGCACCTGCCCTCAGAGCCTGCTGCCCTGTCCCCACCATGAAGTCCAGTGGCCTCCTCCTTCTGGCGCTTCTTGTCCTGGGAACCCTGGCACCGTGGGCCGTGGAAGCTGACGGAGATGGTGAGTGGGACTCGCCATGGTACAATCTTGATGTGGGGCAGAGGCGGGAGTTCTTGGTGGTGTGGGGAGGCCCCTTCTCTAGCTGATGCAGCCCCGTAGTCTGAGAACCTCCCTGAGGTGGGTCCTGCCCACCTGGGCTCCCAGGTCTCGTGAGGGTCTAAGCATGAGGAAATGCTCCTGCCTCCGCTGTCCTCAGCCCGGGTCTCACGTCCTCTGTGCCTTTTCTCTTCTCTGCCTGCCCCTCTCTGCTTCGTCCTTTAGCCTTTGTGTCTGGCCTTCACCTGTCACGTTGGTTTCCTAACTTTCAAATCTCTCCTCCCCCACTGCACCAAGTTGTCTCTCTGCCTTGGCACAGCCTGGCTTACTCTGGTGTAGGGACCCTTGGCTGATACTCGATGGTTTCCAGCTGCTGTGTCAGTGCCTGTGGCTCATCCATCTCATCCTTCTTCATGTGGGTCAGGCAGGCATCTCCCCTTGCCCCTGTGGACAGTCCCCTGCGGGAGGGTCTCTCCAGCAGGTGGGGCTTGGGTCAGATGTTCCCATGGCCCCTGATCCCCAGGCCCGGCTGAGCTCTAGGCTCTGTCCTTGCAGCTGTGAAGGGTGGAGAATGCCCTAGGAGTTTCCTAGCCAGGTGCACTAAACTTGACAAATCTGAATGCCAGCGTGACTGGCAGTGCCCACTAGAGAAGAGATGCTGCATTGATAAGTGCAGAGAAATGCCTGCACCCTGTGAAACTCTAGTATCCAGGTGAGAGGTGGCAAGAGCTGGTGAAAGTCCTGAAGCAGAGGGCACAGCCTCAGGGGGCAGGTTTGGGTGGTGCTGGGACTCTTGTTTCTGTTGCAGAGGGGGTCACACTGGCCCAGACAGGAAGTGACCACCGGGCAGTGGACACAAGCACCTGCCAGCAGGTCCTTTTTCAGGCCATATCATCTGGTCCTAAATTCAGAACTCTGGGCAGTGGGCAGCAGCCACCCAGTCAGCGCTGACGCCTGTCCCCTGCAGTGATGGGGTCTGGGGTTAGAGCGGAGCAGGCTCTGCCTTCAAGGGACGTGCAGGCCTCTCTGGAGGAAGTGGGGGTCATGGGGCTGGAGAGATCTTTTTGTCTGTGGAGGGTGCAGCTGGCTGGGTCCGGAAGCAGCGCCGTGGGGACGTGCAGGGCCTTCACCTGTGCTCTCCTCGCACCAGGGACAAAGCCTGGCCGGTGTCCAATAATAATGGCAGGCTGCAAGATGTGCAACCCTCCCAACCACTGTGAGACAGACAGCCAGTGTCCGGGCATTTTAAAGTGCTGCAAGGTCAGGTGTAGGAAACTCTGTTGTGCCCCTGTGTAGGGTAAGTCTGGTGGGGCCTCTGATCCCTCACACCATCCCTCAGTCTCAACCCCCATGACTAGATGTAAGAGAAGGCGGATTTCTGATTCTCCCCCATCGAAATTCACTGTTTGACCCTCTTGCGTTTTTTCTCCCTCAAATTTTATTCATTTGCAAACTGTTTGCATATCTCTGTAACTTTGGGGTACAGTCTCGCACCTCCATATGTGCACATGCTTCCCTCAGCCTCCACCGGCCTTGGGGCGAGGAGCCACAGGGTCCCTCAGAGCTCTGGTTCTGCTGCTGCCTCCGTGGCTGAGGCCCTGGCAAGGGACCCTGTGAGTCCTTTCCCGGGTCCGGTGTGGACAGAATGAAAGGGAAAGTGCTGGAACGCCCCTGCGGAGAAGGACTCGGTACTGGGGTTGTTTTCGGCTCCATGGCTACGTCCCTGTCCGCTGTGCAGCGGGTGTGAAGATGAACCACTCTAAGTGTTGAGTCCAGAGTTTGACTGTGAAATTGGTACATGACCTCATTCTCCTGTGGCACATCTCTGTCACCTACGTCATCACTTTGCTCTTTTTTTTTCTATTTCAGAATTCTTAGAAAGGAAAAATTGAGCCACGAAGTTGGTTTACGTTGAAGCTCCAACATGATTTCCCCTCACATCTGATGCGGCCACTGAAAGTAACTTTGTGTCATGCCCTGTGTGTTCTGGGAATTCCCTCTCCCTCCCAGACCCCATCATGACACATTCCAAGGTGAAGACCAGGTTCTGCCACTGGTGTCTCCTTTGGAGAAAGGCTTGACACACAGTTGCTTTCAGGAAATGCCTGTTGTTTGTTGAATGAAAAATGTTTCTTTCTGCACATCCTGATCCTGTCCATGCTTCATTGTGGAGTGCATACTGGGTGGGGTACAGCGGGTGTCTGGAGTGGAGGCCCCTCCTTTTCGTGTGTGGAAGGAGGAGGCTTAAGGACCACACAGGCCTGAGTTTGCATCATGAGTCTGACAATGCTGGCTCTGATTTCATTCAGGTGCATTGTTCTCCTTTACCTTAATTTCTGTAACTGCAGAGTGGAATCGAACCACTCTCTGCCAGTCTGTGGGGCACTGGGTATGCAGTGGGTTTGAAATGAGTACACAGTCCCCGGGGCACAGCCGGTTCTCTGAAACATGTGACACATGCCACTGTTGGCATTTGAGCCTCTTTCATTTCTGCTCCTTTCTAAGTTATTACTTCTTTTGCATAAAATGAGTTGAGAGGAAAAACGTGCGCTGATGATCAGCTCTTAGGGGGACACCAAGCACTCTGCTCATGGTGTCTTGGCATCAGCATGGCCAAGAGAGCACAGTGAAGTTATGTTTTGGGTGGAACAGTGCTCTGCGCCCTCTAGGGAAACAAGAAAGTTCAGTGGCCTCGTGGCGGGCACTCCCAGGACCAGTGGGTCTGTTCCCACAGTGGCTGCAGAGAAATTTGCCTCCATGCCTGGTCCCTCTTCATGCTGTAGTAGAAAGACTCAAGCTGTTGCCCCGGAGCACAGCGATGGCATGGGGCAGGGAGGACGCCGCATGGTGCTCAGACAGGAGCACC